CCGAGGCTTTCACTTTTTCGGCCGTTGTCACGTTCGCCTGCCGCTCAATTTATCATCATCCATGGCCATGATGGCCAGGCCATTGAACCGGAGTCGAAAAATGTTTCTGTGGCAAAAAGGTACGAAATACCAACTGCAAGGGGTATAAGCCCGGTCATTTGTTAGGCGACCGCAAAAGACAGACAAACAAAAAAAAAATAGAAAAAGTAAAAACAAAACGCATTTGGCCATCCCTTTTTGACCCACCCCAAAACAATATTCAAATTGTGATTTATTTGCGCAAATTCCTCAAGTGAGAGAGATTTGCACCAAGGATTAAGTATCCGCCCCGGGCGGCGTTTGTCTGAGGCCAGAAATTATAATAATGCGGACAATGAAATGAAATTTTGTTTTGGCCAACAACCGACTGTCATGGCTCAAAGTCTTTGCCTGTGGCCCGGCTTGTTATTTGGTAGACGGCAAAGGCAATGGCAATGGCAATGGCATTGGCAATGAAAATGACACTGCTGGGGCATTAAATTCACCTAAAATGTGGCCAAACTAAATGAAAATGCAGAAGTGGTTAATGCGATGCTGCTGCTTTTGGGATCTCTATGTCTGCGTCTGGGAAATCACTTGACTCGCACACAGCACTTTCTTCACCGGCCACGTCAGAGTGGTTATTGCGGCCTGTTGCCTGTTGCCTGCCAGGTTGATTGATGAGCAGATGCCGACTTCTCTGGCGGCAAACGTCGATGGCTCGTTGGCCGGCCATCTTGATTGGCATTTAACATCGCTGTGAACTTTGCTTTGCCATTCATATGAGACTCCTTCATCGAGCCTCGAATTTCACCGCAAATATGCATTGCCAAAACCCCAAATTGCTGCCGAGTATTCCCAAGGTGCCGCCTTAATTGAGTGGTATGTGGCAGATTTAAATTGTGCGGGTGACGTATTTATAAACTGGCGGATCAAGGACCACACGGAAATAAACCAGTAACAGGATCTAACTGATGGGAAATCTATTTTTAACCTACAATTTGGGGATAACACTGAATAAATATAATAAAATTCGTTGAATATTTAAATAGTTTAAGCGATGTTATGCAGCAGATTAAATCACATTACATTATTCATAAACTGTCAGGCTTAAGACCACACGGAAAAAACAACTGCCCAAAATCTATTTTTAAATTAACAATTTTACGATTTTTAATGGATATTTTTATAGGTCTAGTTAGACAGATGGGATATTGCGTGTGCCACACAAAAGAAGACTAAATATTAATATTGAAATATTTTAGGCCTTGCCATGCCGCAGATTAAATTATGGAGGAGGAATATTTACAAACGGGACCACAGGGATTAATGAGGACAAGGTTCTAATTGGTAGGCAAAAGCTATTAATAAACTTATTTTTGGAAAACACTTAAATTATTTTGTACATTTAATGAAGAAAGGTTCGAGTTATTATTACGTTATTATAAGTTATAAGCAAAGTTTATTGGATAATTCTTAGTATTAAGTCAGTTCGGTTAAATTTAAACTAAGATTTTAATGTACAAAAGTAAATAGTATAAAAATAATTAATTCAAAAATAAATTGATTTCCAAGTAAGTTAACACTTTAAGCTGCTTACAATTCTTAAGTTTTTATTAACGAAATTTGATTATGATTAACATTGAAAATTTAAGCAAGTAGGTTAACTTTTAAAATATTGAATTTAAATAGTAAAATTGTAAAAAAATAGAATCACTTTTTCAGCAGTATCATATTTCCATGACATGTCATATAAATTTTTCAGCGTGCCCCAAGCAGAATCTAGTTTTTTTGAATTTTGTCGGTGCCCAAAATATGCTATAACAACGACAGGCCCACGCCTCGGGATTTCGTCGGATAATTTCACCGGCAAACAAATGCAAAGCGGTGTTTTCCGAAACAAAAATAAATGCGGCACGTTAAGAGAGTTCCTTGTCGCTGGCCGCAGGGCGAATGAAATTGAAATTCGCCACAGAATATTTTGCTCCGCCTGCTAAAGAGATTTGCCAGCGAAATATTAGACATCAAATTGAATTGACTCCGAGTTCTCCACTCTGGCGGCTTAGGGCAAGTGAAAATGGCTTTGTGTAGGGCCAAACCAAACAAACAGACAGACGTATAATTTAAGGAAAGAGCTCGGGACAAGCGTATAATAAATTCATCAAGACAGCAGGCAGTTGGTCCGATCGGATCCGATAGTTACGGTCCGGCTTTCCACGCTGCGGTGCAGTTCATCAGTTGTCCAGGGGTCAGAGTGAAACGTAATTGGCCCGCGGCACTTCATTTGATTGAGGAGAGGAGAGGTGGAAGTTGCAAGTTCCGAGTTGCGAGTTACCGCTGCCCTCCAGCCATGGCAACCTGTGCGCCCACATCTACCACTTGGTTACTTTTCTTGGCGGGGGCGAACTTCGATGTCAACACAGAGTGAAAGTGAAAAACTCACCGGCAATGGAAAATCCAAGGTAAGCTAAGAGAGCTTTTCTTTTATGCAATTGTTCGGTGGCGAAAAGGTTCCCAAGCCCAAATGGCCACAGAATTGTGTATTCTGCCTTATTGAGTTTGAGTCGAACGCGGAGACAAAGGCCAAATAAATCGCCCGGGCTTGGGGAAAAGTTTCGTGACGATCTTGGCCAAGTTCGTTTCCAGAGTTATTCGTCTGTGCACGCGGAGAAAAATTGTGTTTAATCTAGATTAATAAATGTTAAGTTATATATGATTAATCTATCTCTTTGATTTCCTTGAATCATTTAAAAAACAAATTTGCATTTTGTATTCTAAGATTTTTGTTCATAGTCAAAACAAAATGTGTGATCCTGAAACACTCACCATAAAAGATCGTTTTTTCTCACTGCAAGCTCTGCAATTGCCTTCGATCACTAAGCGTTCGGTTGTTTGCTCGCTGTTAACACAAAACGCCAATTACTGCAAATTGTGGGCTGCTGCAGTTTTCGGCCTATTAGCAGGGGATAGTAGTCAGTCGAAAGTCGGATTGCGTGTGAGCCAAACGCGAATTATCATAAATTATCGCCGGCGGATTATGCAGCGGCAAGTGTTTTTTGCATTTTGCATTTGAATTGTGATTCGCAGAATGCGATGTTTGTCCTCCGGCTGGCTATGTAGAACGGGCCCAAACTTATGCAGAGATATGCACTTTCCCGCTGGAAAAGAAAAACACTTTTCGTGTCCGACTATCCGCGGCGTGTTTGGTAGCGATAAAATTGCAAATCCCATCATTAGATGTTCGTCAGCGCGGCTTTTTTAATTAATATTTCATAAATGAGAAGCGCCGAGCATAAATTATGCATGAGTCGTCGTGGAGGTGTTGCTCCGTTTGTTGCTTCAGTTGCTACACTTTGCGAAATGTATGGCTAAAACTTTCACCTTTCTCTGGGCAGCCTAAAGGTAGGCTTTGAATTGTATTCAAGGCCGGGCTGAAAAAGCTGCTTTATTTTCGTGGAATAAATTTAAACTTTAAGCTGACAGTTGCCTTTGTTTATATTAACAAGAAGTTTTAATTTAATTTAATTTAATCGTTTTTTTAAAAGCTGAAAGAGTGGGATTATAATTAAATTGGATTAAATTTATAACGCAAAGTTCGGTAAATAAACAAAGCCCACATTTCTATAAATTGAAGTTGATTTAATAAACCAATAAAGTCTGTTTGCGTTATATGTACCTAGCAAACAATTGAACTGACTTTCACGAAATCCCTTCAGATTGATTTTTGTTATGTTTGCTAAAAATTATTTCTGAGTGACAAAGCCTAAGAGCTTAAGAACTATTTCAGCTTTAATATCAATGAAACTTTAGTTTTCCTTAAGAGAGTTGGTTTTCAAGAAGGCCTTTTAGACAAAATATAATAATGAACTGACTTTCTGGTTAATACTAACTAGGTACCTTAATATATTTAATATATTATATATCTCAGCATGGCAAAAATATAATGTTTTTATAAATTAAAGTCTATGTCAAGTCTAAAAGTGCAATACCTAATATTAAATATGTTAAATAAAACTTCCAAATAAACAAAAAATCTAATTAGATATGGTGAAAATTTATGGTTGAGTATAATTTCATGCTTTCTTCTCACAAATCACTAATCCATAGTACATGGCTGTACCACAATCCGTGCCAGGATAATTCGTGGCTGGCACTTTCATTAACTTTCCTGCTGCCGGCGACACATCTCGTTGTGATTCTATAATTTTCCACCCAATCAGCATTCATTTCGGTTTCGATGCGCTTGCCTAATAAATACGAGTATGTATGCCCGAATCTTTGCGTGTGCAATCGAAAGCCAAAGATCGGAGAAGATCTCGGCTCTCGCCTCGGTTTCACAGCTGCCGCTGATGAAAGTGGGCGTCGAAGGTGCTTGGAAGTTGCATTAAGCCGGGCCACCGATATAAAGACTGGAATAATTGCCCAGATCTGCTAATTACGGCAATGAGCAATGAGATTGACTGGCCCCCTACAGCCGGCCTGCCGATTGCACTAAATCTGCAGCGAAGCTTTGCTTAGTGCCTCGCTTGCAGTGGCAGCCACTTGCCAGCTGCCGCATGCACTCATCATGCATACTACGCTCTGAATAGCCACCAGCTATTGTTGCACTGAGAAGAATTAAATGTTAGTTTAAAGTAAGTAGTTAATAATCTTAAGATTTAATTAATATTATTTGGAAAAGCCATTAAGTAAGTTTTATTACAATAAAATTTTACCCCAAAAAGGCAAGAATAAATATGATAGTGTAACAGATATACTATTTACTATAGTATATATATTTTTTCCAGTGCTTTAACGCCTGCAGCAAAAGCAAAACCCGCTGCAACGGCTGCCTGGCTAATTGTGGCAAGGTAAAGTGTATAAATTTGGCGGACAAACTGGCGCACAAGATCAGTTGGCCAAGAGATTTCCTAGCGGCTGCAGCAAGACGACATTGAGAGAACTAAGAGAAAGAGATCATAAGGATTGGGGACACGCACAGAATGGATTCGCGTCTGGGTCTGCTCATAGCCCTGCTGCTGGCGGCCTTCCAGGCCTGGGCCTTAGAGGCACCAACAAATCTCAATCCGAATTCCACGGAGAGCGGCTTGCTACGGACAGTGCGACATGTTTATGGGCAGTGTGCGGATAGCGAGGATATATTTTGGTGCTGCAAGATCCAGGGAGTACGCCTCCTGGGCCGCGCTCTCAAGGTCCAACAGCTGGGGATCGTGGATGGCGTGAGCTTGGTGAGACGGGAGTCGGTCAGCCAGGATACGCGCAGTGGCCGCTCCAGCCTGGTCGAGAGCCAGCTTAGCAATCGTGATCTGGAGCACATGTCCGGGAAGAGTCTGGATGCCCTTCTGCTAGAGCGTTTTCTGAACTTTGTCCACAGCCACCAGCTGCAGGTTAACCTTCCCCGCTTGCTGCGATTTGGCGAACGGAATGGCCAAGATTGGCTGCAGCATCTGATGGGATATTTTCTTCCATCCAGCGAAAGTGAGGGTCGCAAGAAGAAGGATGACAAGAAGTATCTGGGACCCTTCATCGCCGCAGTTCTGCTGAAGACAGCTATCCTGAAGATGGCGTACCACTCGATCGCCATTGTGGCGGGAAAGGCGCTGATCGTGGGCAAGATTGCACTTATAATCAGCGCTATAATTGGACTGAAAAAACTGGTGGGTCACGATGGCGGTGAGAAGACCACCTACGAGATCGTCAAGCATCCGCAGGTCCAGCAGAGTCACACCTACTCGTCCAGCCACCAGGGCGAATATGATACAGGTGGTCATGATAGCGGATCCTACCATCGCAGCATCGACGACGAGATGATGATGCAGGACAAGGCCTACCAGGCCTGGATGCCCCAGGTGGGCGCATCCTCCTCGCCCGCCGGCAAAGGGTCCCGATAAGGGAGTCGCGGAGGTCCTCCCGGGGTCAGCAGCTCTACAACCAAAGATCCAAAGATCCCACGAAGCCCCGCTTAGTCCAATCTATATGAATTTGTATTTACACTCGACAGCCCTCCATTTTAAGTTTAGTTACCGTAGTTATTATGTTACCACAGAGCGAGCATTAAAAAGAAAAGAATTTCAAGTTTGCAGTTCCGTTTTGCTTGCCCTCAAATAATTCTTACTATTCTTAGACTTACTGGCTTATTCCACTAGTATCGTAAATGTGCTTTATTCTATGGACACACTAGGAGCTTAGAATTATCATCTATAAGAAACCCCGAGTGGGTTTAGTAGCCTCTGGGCGTGCCTGTTGCACTGTGTTCTCCGCCTGATGCAGGCGGCGCTTGAGTGGCTCCATCTGATACGCCTGGTAGAACTCCATTTGATTGCCCAGTGGCGGTTCCTCCATCTGCTCCAACTGCGAAGATGCATAATCATGTGTCGGCATGCTGCGATGCCAGCCACTTTCGTGGCTGGAGTGAACCACGACATGCTCCGTGCCACCACCGCCACTACTACCACTGTGTCCAGTCGAACCCTTTTTTAGACTGCCCTGCGAAGAGAAGCGTAGCGCCAACAATTTGGACAGAACTGTTCTAAGGATAGATTCTACTCACCAGCAGGGAGATGACCAAGGCGATCTTGGCCATTATGAAGGCGGAGCCGGCGATGAGGATGACCTTGCCTAGGAACATTTGGGCCAGAGTGGCCATCATGATCATGCCGCCCATCATGGCCATGTGCTTGTCTTTGTCCTTCTTTTTGCGACCTGTTTTTTTGGAGCAGTTTTTATTTTTATTTTTATTCTTGTCTTTCTTCTTTTTTTTCTTAGATTTTTTCTTTTTCTTAGGCTTTTTCTTCTTCTTAGACTTCTTCTTCTTTTTCTTTTCTTTATCTTTATCTTTATCCTTATCTTTATCAAAGGTTGTTGCATGCACATCGAAACTACCAAATCCACCTAAAAACTTATCGACTTTATCATCTACGCTCGCATAAGTACCTTGATCTAAGCCCAGTTCGCTGCCAAAGTCATCGATGGCATTCGAAATGGTCAACTGCCGTGGCAGCTGAAGCCGCAGAGCTCTCCCCTGGACCAGCTCCAGTAATTTCCCTGCTAGTCCAGTATCCATCCGACTCCTCTCCTGACTCCGAAATCCATCCAGTGGTTCAATGCTTAAATACTCGCTGATCTGCCAGGTGTTGTTATCCGTAGTAGCAACATCCAGCAGGTGCTCGCTTTCGGAGCCCAGACACTCCCACACCTCCGAACCTCCTAGGCAGTGGGCTATAATCCTCCCCAGGCTTCTTGGACTCCATTGGAAAGTCGATGTACCACCAGAAGTTTCATTTCCCTTGTGGCTTAAAGCCAGGACCGAACTAACCAGAAACACGCACTGCAGCAAAAGCACTCGCCACATATTCCTTTGGTATATAATGAAACCTCTTTAACCGCTTCTTGAAGCACAAATAACCCAGACACTTGGCCTGACCCTGCTATTTATAATGCCTTTAACTTTTCCGAGAGGGTAGCAATTAACCCGCTTGTCAAAGCACGACACTGCTCTCTTGATAGGAATCAAACAGAAATGTTTTCAGAAGTTTGCTTGCTGAACCCTGACCTAATGAAAACTGAAACCGAATTTTTCGGTTAAGTTAACTTTCGTTTTTGGAAAGCACTCACTGTATTTGGCTAAATACAGCTTAGATACAGTCTGAAAAATGTTTGAGCAGCTTCAACCACAAGAAATCTTATCAAAAATCACAGTCATACATTAAACTTGAATAATTTGACAAGAGTTTTTATTAATGTTATATGAATAGTTTCATATTCTGACATATTTACATTCTAAAGTTCTTAGTTTAGGTAAAGTGTGGTTAAATTACTTAACTTAATAAGAAATTCCTACTTTTATATACAAAAGATGGGCATTTTGCTAGGTGCATTTGAGGCCCTACAGCGATCTCACGTCCACAGCCTGCCATCCCGTCATTCCATGGGGATCCTGAAAGTTTCTCCTCAGCAGTTCACCCTCCTCCTGCTCCACACTGGCTGCCAATAGTTTGTTACTTGGCCTGCGTTGGTTTTCAAAGTCGTAGAAGCGGTCTTGGGTAATTGGTTTAGCTTTGGCTGGTGGTGTCTGCACCGGCGTTTCCGCCGCTCGGGGCTGTTCGAATCTTACTTTTCGCTCAGCGCGACGATATGGAGATGACTCGTGTACATCGTACTGGTGGTGGAACTCATCTTGGCCCTGGCCAAATACCGTAGTTTTTCCAGGAAAATGGCCTAGTGGTCGGTGCCCTTGAAAGCCGCCGAAACCAAAGTTCGAGCCGCCAAAGCTGCCGAAATTAGCGCCTCCAAAACCACCACCTAAGCTACCAAGGCCACCTAAGCCTCCTAATCCGCCCACAATTCCACCCAGCCCCAAAAAGCTGCTCACATATATCGCCAACTTCACCAAAAATAATGACTTTTTGAGGAGTAGACAAATACCGGCAAAAAGCAGGGGTACCAAAGCCACCAGATTGAACTTCAGACCCAGCAGAAACGGGAGTAGATACTGCTTGGCCAAAAGACGACCTGCAAATTAAAAATAAATTATATTTTTAATTGGCATACACCTTTTGGACACTAAATTGCCCAAGGAGGCAAGAAAAATGATTTATCTTACCTGTTGCGGGATCCTCATATCCAAATTGTCGCTCTCCCTGAACACCATTATCAAGGACGAACTCAGCTACACTATTCGCATCCGCTGTGGGCCCAATTTTAAACATAAGCCCAGGATAGAGACCATCCATATGCCACTCCAGACTTCGTTGACCCATCACGGCGCCAGCGTTCTCCAGAATGCCACGAAAATCCACTGGATCTGTGTCGAGGACATTTGCCAGCGATCTAACTGCAGGAGATTCACTTTTCACGGTAACAAAATCATCCACGAATCTTATGTTTTCGCTTTCATCTAATCTCTGGATGAAATTCAGAGCGGATCTTCCCAGACATTCACTGAACTTGGGTTTCTGAGAGCCACGAACACACTGCTTGAACTCGGAAGTCATGCCGGAAAAGTCACTGGCAATCACTTGGAGGAAATGGAAACTGAACAGGAGCAACACGATATCCAATGGCGACATGTTGGTCAAGTGTTTGGATCTCAACTGAGCCCGCTGGCCAACTGACCCTTCTGTTTTATATCCACCTCATCTTGTTATACAATATCAACTGGTCTTTTGGCCAAATCTGCTCCCATTCAGCTAACGCGCCGCCTTTTTGCACATGGCCCAATAACGGAAATTGTTTTACATCAACGCCAAGTGGCGGCTCTTCGTCTTCGTCTGCTTCTCATTTAAGCCGGCATGGTCATGGTCAGTGCACACGACCCAAAGCTTCGTCGACTTGTGGCCAATTTTTCGCACATCTCGGCCATTATGCAAGGGGTTATTGTTATTCCACAAAAATTATGAAATACTCGGAGGCGCCACCGTTCGGACCTCTCCGAAAATCTGCAATTACCATTGCTAATGCCACTTAGGTCCATTAAATAAACGAAGACGCTTAGAGAATTACCAGAAATGTTCCATCGTTTAAACAGAAAAACTTGAAAATTGCCGCAAGTCAATTAACAAAACAAACAAGCAGAAAAAGGGAGAAAAACAGATACATTTTTGGAGGGGAATTTGAATTTGTTCAACACGATTTGGGCGTAATTTAGGGAGAGAAACAGCTTATTTCGTAAGTACAGCAGATACTATTTAATAAAGTCGACGGATCACAATAATATTGGAACTTACTTATTTGCAAAAATACAATCATAGCACTTGACATTTGAAAAATAATTCCATGTTAGGAAAACTTAATATATGATTTATTTCTTTATTTAAAGTCTTAGGTGCCATAAAATGCCTTTGCACATAACATTAAAAATGTTGTCATTAGATCTAAAGTCATATATTAACATATTATTGATTATTTATATATGTACTTTAAACTATCTTTAGAAAGAAGGTAGCATTAAATCTGTGAAACCTTTTCCACATTAAAGAAGAAGAAATTATGTAATTATTCATTATAAAGACTTATAAAGATTAAAGCAGTTGTACAGTTTAACAACCATGATAGTCCCAGGTTGAAGAGCAATATAAAGTTTGTTTAATAATCCCCTTAAGTTCGAGGTGAAAACCATTGCATACTTTTAAGAAGAGGCAATAAAAGCTGAAACTCTGGCTTGGTGATGCCAGAAAGTCAAGAGGTTTGATTGCAAGAGCAGCTACAGAAACGTATTTTCGCGGTATTTTCGGGTGGTGGGGAAATTTGAATATGCCCTTAAGAAAGTGTCTGACAACTTAACACCCCAGGTCCTTTGGCGAACGCAAGAACTCCCCCAATTCACCTGCAAAGCTGAGCAGACAAGAGCCTTAAGATAAACTTTCAGGAAAATCAGTCTCCGACCAAGTATGAAATGACGTCCTAGACAGATTTCAAGGAATTTTGTCCCTGGATTTGCGGCTTAATCTCTGCGGTTGCCGTCGAAAACTTTTGTAATATTGTAAAAGTTTTGTTTCGTTTTATTGGTAGGCGGGTAGGTGGGTCGGCGAGCAATGGCCGACAGTTAATAAATTTCCAATTGCAAAGCGCAGCGACAAAAAAGAAATTGTATTAATAAACACTTTCACCGCCAATACTTGAAATTCGCGGCCAGTTGCCTGCAGTTGTTTACAAATAGTTAGCAATGAAACTAAAAAGAAGACATAAGAGCAGGCCGTAAAGACCTTTTGGCCATTTTGAGCTTTGAGTTTCGTCGGTTTTGGCCATTTATATGCCGAATGGCGATGTCGTCGGGCCATATCCATAAATTGCAGCTGTGGGGCGTGCTTCCAGACTGGAACTGGAATCCACGCTCCCATCCACACACCCAATTTGTTTGGAGCGTACGTGTTGCACTGCGAATGCAGAAAAAAATAAGAAATAAAAAAAAGCAAAAAGCAGGTCGCAACTTTCATTAGATTTTCCCGAGATGTTCAGATGTGAGCCAGTTTCTGGAGCGACATTGGATATGTATGACTCGAATATTGGACTGTATGACTGACCGAGGCCGAGGCTGAGGCTTCTCCCATGCTTCACGCCTGGCTGGCTCAAGTGAAATCCGGCAATCTTGGTCCGTGATTTTGTGTGTCGCCCATGCAATTGATATCGCTGGCCCAGTTCGCCTTAGCCGGTGGAAGAGTGCAAGAGTGAAAGAGTGAAAGCACTTCGCTGCGTATGAGTGATATTCCAGTGAAACACTAAGACACCAAGTTCGAGATAAATGCGGCATTGCTTTTATTGATTTGTGGGAAGGGGCTTGGCCAGGGGGCTCTTCCTGCGCCTAGCGGCAGTTCAGAGTTAGGCAGTTTAGTTATATAGTTTAATAGTTTAGTTTTTGAGAGTTAAATTGAGTTAAGCGTAGAGTTTTAAACAGTAAAGCTCTGAGTATTAATACAAGAGTTGCAGTCATTTTAAGATTAGATTTAACGGCGCCAGGCGTCCCCCTTGGTCTTTAGCCCCAGCTGCTTTGCTGCTTAGCTGCTTAATTCCTAAACCTATTTGCTGTGGGTTCTGGATTCGTTTTTGCATTTCCTTCTATTTCTCTTGATGGCGCCTTAAGTGTGTAAGCCTGGCATGAACTATGCTATACAAATAAATTAAATAAATAGAATAAATTAGACGGCCCTCCGAGTATTGCACTGATTACGGTTGCCTCAGCATTCAGAATTATTTGGCATGACGCTTATTGCTTATACGCCGCGTAGGCCAGCTGCTGGGCCTGGGAGTCATCAGCCGGCAGCGAGCGTCCGTAGCTGTGCTCGTGCTCGTAGTGCGGGTGCGCCACCACCTCGTAGTTCTCCTTCTTCGACTCGAGCAGCTTCTTCAGTCCAATGATGCCGGACAGCAGCAGAGCGATCTTGCCGATGACCAGGGCCTTGAAGGAGATCAGAGCCAGGAAACCAATGGCCAAGGGCAGCAAGGCGGCCATCTTCAGCTTAAAGAGCATCAACAGAGGCATCAGGTACTTCTTCTTCTCCTTCTTCTTGCCGCGAGCTGCAAAGAGGGAACATATTCGAGATTTGCATTACTTTCGCTGGACCAGAGCTGACCGCTCATTAGCAACTGGAGCACAGATAATTAGCCAGCGAACAGGATCGACCGCTTTCTATGCGGCTGGCTAGTTGGCTAGATGGCTGGCTGGCTGGGTGGCTGAGTTTAGAAATTCGAAATCGGAAATTGCAGCCACTGCGCACAAAAAGAAAGTAAGCCTCGCTAACTGGCTGACTAAAGTGCAATTAATAGCCAACTATCTGGATAACCAGCTGCCAATGCACCGCTATGTGGCTATCTGGCTGTTGGGCTATGTGGCTACTTGGCCATGTGGCTCCATCACAGGATGACCTCGATATGGCGGCGACTTAACAGTGAAAACAGGATTTGTGTCGGAGCCATCTGCCCGAACTGGTCGCTTGCATTACTAACCCAAATTGGCAACGACTTGGCCAGACCAGAACGGTAATTTATGTGGGATCTGATGGATCCAATCGTACTACAAACTAACATAGATACTCACATTCCTCGAGGGCGCGCTGCATGTCCTGGATTGAGTCCTTGGGAACCTTGAACTGCAGAGTGTGGGTGCCAAAGAAGCGAGCCACTCGCTCAACCAGCAGAGAGTCCACCTCGGCCTCCCTGGCCTCAACCTCCTCGGGCAGCTGCATCTCGTTCAGGGAACGACCCACCGGTATCTCATCGGTCTTCACCAGGGCAATGCCCTCGGTTAGCCGCACATCTCCGTTTTCGGTGTCGAAGTAGTGCAGGGCTCGCTCCTTTTGGGGTTTGATTTTGGATTAGGATAGGTTCAATTTAATTTGGGAGATGTCCCACTGAATTCTTTACCTTCATGCACAAGACCATCGACCGCTCGCCGCAGTCCTTGACCATCTTTAAGGCGCTGGTCAGCAGGCTGTCCGCTTCCGAGGCAGCCGCCGCCGTAGAGGCAATCAGAGCAAAAAGGCACACAAACTTGAACATGGCTCCGGATGGATATTTCCTTTTTTCGTTATATTTCACACAAACACTTGACACTGGCTCGCAGATTGGATATCCTGCCACTTCCTGGCGAGTCTTGGGGATTGAGAGTGTTCACTTGATTGAGTGCACTGCGCTCGATTGGCGTGTTCGATCTGTCGGTCAGAAGGCAACCGGTAAACTGTGGCTAGAAGACGCACGCGGATCGAGTTTTATTCCCGGCCAGCAGAGCGGCAGCAGCGTTAGCCAGCAGCGACGACAACGACAACGCTGGCTAAGTTGTTGTCGCTTTAGCGCTCCGCAAGTGGTCCGAACACCTTCCCCCCTCTCGCCACGCATCCCACTCACAGTAGCCGAGCTTAGAATTTAAATAAACAACCCGACGACGAACCTCGCCAGGTTGCAGCCGAAGTCCGAGTCTTGGTCTTGGCCATTCAAGGCGCAGCAGCGACACCTGGACAGGTGCGTCGCAGTCGGCGTTCACGCCGGCAGAGCTCGTCGGATTGGCAGTTGTTGTTTGTCAACACACTTCGGCGGCAGTTAGCTGTTTGCCTGTTTGCCTGTTTGCTTGCCTCAAGGAGAAGGAGAGGGCCAATTGTACTTCGGCCAATAGACTGATCATCCAGCTTTAAATATTGCAGTTACTTGGATTAACTTACAGGGGCTTAGATTGAGACAAGCCTTTTGGGGAAGAAGAAAGTGATGGGAAAGTAACTAATCACCTTCGGCAAAGTAATTAACTTGTCAATAATAAACATTTTACGATTAAAGCTTGCAAAAAGGCCATAAGGGTATTGAGCCTTTATGTATTGAACTTACCTGAATGAAACCTTTAAGTTTTAATTTGGGAGAAACTTGCTGTTAGTTTATCAATGAGAAAGCCAAGATGTATTAACTGTCGGCAGGATTCAATGAAAGTAAATAAATCTTTCATACCCAGGATACCATGTCAGTTTGAAACCTCATCCAAAAACCTTTAACAGACTTTTTATCTTTAAATCTTACTTACTTTTAAGCCTTATTTAATTTAGGATTTAGGAAAATAATGTCTGTCTGTCAAATTTAGCTGTTAATTGCGCTTATAAGCCGATGGTTACTAATAAGATTAACAGCTGAAAATGATTAAAATGTCTTAAAAACAGAAAAGTCTTAAAATTAAACTTTTATCTACTTACTTTTAGTAATTTCATCTTATAATGACAGTTATTGGGATATTTTCATGGTTTCTTCTGATATTATTATACTATGTTAACTATTTGTCACATTACTATACTTTTCCTCTTTATTCCCCTTTTAAATAAAAATGGGTCTAGTTAGTTTCTTCGTTTCAATGCAAATGGCAATATAAATTAGCAAAATCTTTAAAATAAGTGCAAAATAATTACTATCAAAAGAGCGTGCCTTGGGGGCCACTTTAAATTCTGTAAGCTTACATCATGCACATGCAATTATGTTCTCAGCAAGACTGAGTGAAGTTAATGAGCTGTGCAGTGGTTAAGGTATTCGAGGCACCTTTGAGGCGCCACCTGATGATGGCACACTTTCAGCACTGGGTAAATCTCGGGTGCAGCAGAAAGTGCTGCAGTGGTTTCATTTCAAATTGCAGTTACCCACACTGACTAACAGATATATATATATGCATTATAGTACGGCAATCTGGGAGGGGGTGGGTGGTGGGCGGTTAATCAAGAGCACCATTTAAGATGGCCGACGCTGGTCGAAAGCAACCGCCACTCGAATTGGAGTAAAATAGAAAATTAACTAGTTTGCTGGCACTGCGGCGGCATGGTGGAAGAAATTTCACTTTAATTTTGCTTTTTATTTATGTGTTTGTTTGTGCCTCCAGCAAGCATCTCGCATAATGTATCTGCAGTTTTGTATGCCAATCCGATCGCCACTCGACAGTTGCACAGAGACTCTCGCACGAGAGTTTCATTGGCATTATGTCGCTTTAATTTGCAGCACTCGAAAATTGCCACACGTCGTAGCGTCTGTTTCTCGTCTCATCGCTCTATCGTTTGCTGGTAATTTACGCATTAGACCAGACAAGTGCCCCGAAAGAAAGCTACGCGGCAGATTTGCATGCTGCCCAAAACAACATCGCTGACAATCAAGTATAGAAAATAAAACACACAAAGCTCGCATCTAGATGCAAAGCCATTCGACATTTCGCAGACGATTATCCAAAGCGGCAACATGAGCCCAAAATCCGTTGATGGAATATGTAAATGCCTTGCACGTGGACATAGATGGATGTGACTGCCGCTGTCACATTTCTGACAGCAAATGCCCTTTAAATAAGAAATTTACAACGACCTAATAGTATTTCCATTGCTTAGATATTAAGGTAAAAAATACATTTACAAATAATAATAATAATAATAATAGCAATGCAAACCAATAAAACCATAAAAATAAATTAGTTAAACTAAAAATTAGAATAAAAAGAAATACTTATTTGTAAAAAGGTTGTTTAGTATAGATTATTATTTTTGAAATTTTTATCTTTAAATCCATTTAAAGAGTATCTATCATTCCGTCATCAAGTCAGAAACATTCAAAGACAAAACTCAGCAAATATGTTAACTTTGTGCGTGCGCAACGAAAGTGAAAAAGTAATTTCATTGCTAACATTTTATTCAATTTAAACTACGGCACTTCAAGCCCGGTATGATGCAATATTGAAATAATCTGAAAATTATAGTTACGGTTTTTATGGTGAAAAGGCAAGCATTTAGTTAAGCACTTTTGAGAGAGATTAGTAATTGGATTTTAATTCGATGGCAAGGCTAGTTAGCCGAATGTTATAAGCCGAGTACGTACACTTCACTTCACTTTAGAGTGTGCTCAATTAATTTGCAAGCCTGATCTCCTGATGGCCCCCGTTCTCGCCCAGCAACGCCCGGCCATTTCGCCGGCTGACCCAAATCGGCTTGCGAAATATTCGCTCTGTCGATAAAGCCAAAAGCCAACCTTAAAGCATCGCACATTCAAGCCAAACAATCCCCATTTTGGGCCCCACCCAACCGCTCGGCCACGGCCCTTTTCAGTGGCATCTTCAAAATTGACACCTTTTTAAAGTTTCACTTTCATTCCGCTTGGATGGCACGGAATTCCGGGTAACCGGGCGAAGGCAGCTCAGCTCCGGCTTTAGTTTACAGCTCCGGCGCTGTTTACATGCCACTGCCCTGCGCGCTTGGGTAATTTTCAATTAATGAAAGTCTCGGCCCAATGACGTCAGTAGTCCGCCAGCAAAGGGCACCCACAACTTAAGTGGACGTTATGGCCGAGGGGCCTGGGAATGTTGTTGGCCAGGTTCAATGTTCTACGCTGAGCAGCTCATTAATATTTCGTGCAGTGGCCCAAAAGTGAAATTGTCGCATATCAAAGAAGGCAGCCACAACAATGGGGAGGAGGAAAACCCCCTCAGGGCAGAGAAGCTAGGAAAGTGCCCAGGAATATTTTATCTATGAATATTGCATTCAGAAAATGCAAGCTAAGCCAAAGTTGCACCTGCAGTTGAGGTCAACAGAGGCATTGTGGATTTCAAAATGAAATTAAATAAAGAGATTTGAAATGGAAACTTTACACAAGCAAATTACAAATAGAAGTTTTAGAACATATAAAACCCTGCGTTGTTCTTGAATTTCATTTAATTTCATTTAAACTCCACGCAAACGTCACTATTTCTTTAACCGCAGCTGTAAGTACCTAAGGTATGTATGTAACTGCGCTTGGTAGAAAGCGAAGCAGCTTCGTCTGCCATTTTTGGCACGCACGTAAGTCCGTTTCAATGGAACTTTAATTGTTATCATAAATTCATGTTCAGGGAGCGGCCCTGACACAAAAAACAAATCATCTTGTTGCTATTTTCGGGTAGCAGAATTTTCTATATTTAATTAACGCTTACTTAAACCTAACACACACATTTAGTTCGTTAAATTAATGATCGATTAGGCAAATTAAACTAGACATTAGTCAGACAGTTCGTGCGGCGCTCGATTCTTTGGTTCACTCTCCACAAAATCTCTCGGATCTTCTATCTCGAGCTTCTCCATCTCTTTCCAAATGCAAATGCGAGCTCACAGGCTCTTGGCGCTGCCCGCAGATTCCTTAGCTGCCGGCTTCCAGCCACTGTAGGCGGTGTCTAGTTCCCGTCCCCAGCCGGAGTGGCTACCCGAGGAAACGACCACCTCGTGGGAGGATTCCTTTCCGCCGCCTCCTCCGCTTAGCAGCTTCTTGATGCCAATGATCGAGGCCAAGACTAGTGCCAGTTTGGACACAATCAGCGCCTTGCCCGCCAACATGGCCAGTGCTCCGTAGGCCAGGGGCACAATGGTGCCACCCAGCAGCAGGGGGATCATGATCATGGCGCCGCTGCCCTTCTTCTCCTTCTTCTTACGACCCTCCACTGAATTTGCCTCTGAGTCAAATTTCACCTGTGTGAGAAAATTAGAGATAATTTATAAAATAATGTATATGACTTTTCAACTGCTCCTTAAAGGGGAGCAGTTCGTTTCTGAAACATTTTTAAAATTTCTAAAGAGCTCTTAATAAGATTAAAAGTTCATCGAAAAAAAGTAGTTTTGATACTTTAAAAGGAATATAATTTTTATTTTAAAGAATTTGTTTGGCACCTTCTGAGGTCTCAAATGAGTAAAGAATACTCTGCCCAACAATATAACATTCTCAATGGTTACTTACCTGCAGAGTGTGATCCTGTAGGAAGTTGCCCACCCGCTTCATGATCATACTGTTCAGGACCTGCTCCTTGGCATCCACGCTTCTTGGCAAGACGGCTTCAATGTCCTGTTCATTGATAGGTGCCCTTTTGGGTTCTTCACTTTCACCACCAGAACTAACGAACTGAATGCCTTCCATTAGGGACAAGGTCTTGGCCGATCTGAAGGCCTTTTCCAAGCCGGTTAGCAGTTTGACCTTGAGGCAAACGGACATATTTTCACCCGTGCACTGCTGGTAGATGCGGTAGACCAGGGACATGTCCTTCCAGAAGCCCGTGGAACCCATACCTGGGTTACTGGTCTGGACCTGAGGCTTGGGTGCCGAACCCAGACTATTTAGGTTTTGATGCTGGTAGCTAGCACTGCGGGCACTCGAGAGCCAACAGAAGACGATCATCAGGGCTGCCACATGCCACACGTACTTGATCATGACTGGGCTGGATATGTTATTCGATGCTGGACGAGAAGAGGATCTTTGGGCGATCCTGGAGGTGAGGCATATACTGGAGAGTCGACGCCGGGCGCTGCTCTTTGGGTGCTCAACTGAGTGCTGGCCGGTGGGTCTTATGCATTTTATACCTGTGCCGGATAAATCGCATGTCGGCCGGCTGCCTGAAACTGAAACACACAAAAAACACACGCTTTGTCTTAGTCTAAATATCACGGCAATTAGCCAGATGTTGTTGGCCAGTGAAGCTGCGCTTTCGTGATTTCGCTGCGAAAGCCGCCGAAATGCAGTTTCGTTTGCAATTATATTCCCACTTTTTAGCTCGTTCTAAGCGATTGAGCTCGTGCGTGACTGTTGTTTACATTGCCATTGCCATTCCTCGCTGTCTTTGCATCCGATTTACTAGACCGTAAACATATGCATTTTCGGTTTTTCTTTCAAACGACTTTTGGGGCAAATTCACTGTCGTCACCCAATTTGGCGAAAACTTTTCTTTTTTCTTGTGCACTTTGACAAGTTCCATTTTTGTTGCCTACTTTTTGGTGCTGACAAGAAAAAGTGCTGCTCCTGAAATGAATGAGTTAAGACACGAACTCGATCGAAGTTAACGAAAGTCGAGAGAAGCTTTAATATGACCACGTATGGTTTGGAGAAATGGCCACAAGGTGGCGTTTCATAACTGAAATCTTTATGAGTTGGCGGTGAGGTGGAGACAGCAAACAAACGTGAAAGAATTGGTAACAGGTAGCATTTAAATATTTGTCAAGTGGGAAATGTAAAAAGGTGCTAAAGGGGTAATATTTAACTTTTTACACTTTTGCTTTTTAAAGTGTTTAGCTGGAAATTATGTCGGATTCACAGAGCTTAAAAGATAGTGGAAGAAAATGTGCTTTGGATCTCCTATATCATGCCATAAGCGTTATAAAAAATATATAAAAGTGGTTGCGTTTTCTTCTTTAAGAAGGTTGTATGCCCAGGAAAATGACAAGAAAATGGTAAGTTTATTAATAGTTAAATTTTTACTATATGCATTATCAAGATGATACACATCATTGTCATTAGTAAAATATGGTATAAAAATACAATTGCGCTATTTTATACATCTATACTCCCACTATCAGAATAGGTGCTTAAAAGTTCATCATCACTTTGTCCTTGAGTGTACGACAAATATATATAAATTATAAAAAAAGTCGATTTATTATATTTTTTTGCTTTATTTGTTGCTAGTCTGTTTAGACAGTAAGAGCTCTTTTCAGAAACTGACACGGAAGGCAAAAGGTATTGATGTAGCTGGATACAGTATTGATTGTATGCACTCGTAGAAGGCAGGCATTATGATAGACTTCTCCGACAAATCCGTGGTGCCAAAGACGCATACGCGGTGCTGACCCCAGATCGATGACCGTAATCGGGATAACTTATACTCTTAATGTCACATTGCTGGCAAACATTGATACCACATGCCTTAAATGTCAAACCTTAAATTGAGACAGCTCAGTACACAAAGCCACTAGGCCGCTTACCGCTCAACTGCACAGCAATGAAAGCAATTAAGCGCTCTTCACCTGCAATGCAAATTGAACTGCTAATCAAAGTCCTCACGCAACGTGCAACATAACCGCTGAGGCGATGCAACGGCCGTTTGATAATTGCGGCCGATTGTTGCTAACTGAATAGCGTAATTTAAATTGACCACAAACGCCGGCAGTAGTAGAAGCGGCGGCAAATCAGGCGTGCCGGGAAAACGCTCGAGTGACCAAAACTGTTTCACGGCTTTGCGGGGCTCGTGGCCAATTAACTTTCAATTAATCAAAAGCAATGAAAGCCCGTAAATGCGCTCAGTTGATTTAATGCCCGGTGAGCAAAACTACGCCAACAATTGGTGTAATCATAAATTCAGATGCGTGCTTTGTCTGTCTGTCGGTCGACCGTCGACCGTCGAGTGTCGAGTGTGGGAAAAACGTGCTGGAGCGGAAAATTATGACAGCGGCAATAATGGCAAGCGCCTAATAATATTATTAGCCAGGCAGGCAACCTGGCTCTTCATTTCGTTTATTTTCCTTTTTTCATGATATGTTTTTCTTTTTGGTTTCTGTTTGCCTTTTTCCAGCTGCAAATCGCAGTGCTGCAAGGCCGACAATCAACTTTGGCTTCGGGACCGCCCCTGGTCGTTGTCTACGTTCTGGTGACCTGCTTTCGGAGCTCCCAAACTCGTTTTCATTTCGTTGAGCATTCTGCACACACATTCTGCATTGCGACGACGCCCTTCCAGGCATCTACACCACCACCGCTACTGCCCCCGTCCAGTTGACAGTGAAATTGCTTTCAAATTGGGCACTCTGCACGATTCTCCTTCGCAGCCATTAACTCTTCTTATGAATTATTGCAAATTTTGTGGTTTTTTATCTGGTTTTTCAGAATGTGAAATTGCTGCCAGTGCAGCTGTTGGTGCAGCAGAGGCAGAGGCAGAGTGCTGATGCTGCACCAGTTTGGCTGCCACCGAGGCGGCATTTCTCTAGCGGCACAACCGTTGCTCGCTCCAAATCACTGGATCGGGCTTTCGTTTTGGTTAGTCGATTTGCATATACTACCATGTTTAGCAGCAGTAAACGAAATTTATCAGAATCGAAAATAGGCTGGATAGTAGCCGCAGAACGTTAACAATTTCTTAGATTGTGCATTTTGTGGGACATAACGGCTGAATGAAGTATAGGTTTCAGGATATATAGTGGATGAAGAGTGAAATTAATATAATTTGCTAGTATATTGATCTTTAAAGCTGTTCTTAACCGCTAAACTAAAGATGAATATAGGATTACCTGATACTATTTAGTTTCTGATTCAGTTGGTAGCAATAAGGAGGTAGCAGAAGCATTTCAAATCTCACGCTTTTACCTTTCAATCCTATGTAAATATCAAATAATTAAATACATTTTCTACTTACAAATTTCTCCAGCAAGTGGCACTCTCCATCTTGAATTTAATTTAAAACGAAAACAGCCGAAAGCAAAAAGCATTCATAATCGCGTGTAAGTCTCCTAAATGGGTATTTCTTAAATCTCGTCTGACATTTGGTGGCACCAAGCGGTCTCTTTGAGATCATTTCCAACCGAGCGTAGCCCGAAATTTTCGTAATTTCCATTTGATTAAGTGAGCAGGGGGGTTAGCTAGAGAGTAAAAAGACTGACAGTGGTCAGTCAATGTTTGCTCAGGCTTGGCAGCTGCTCAAATGAGTTGTTAACATTAATGCGCATTAACCTGTCTTTTGTTTTCGCCCGGGCATTCGTGGGCCAGCGACTTGGCGACTTGGCCACATTTAGAGCGGCTTGGAAAACGCTTTTTGGTCTTGGCCATGTGCCACAATTTCAGACTTTTCACTGCAGTCGTGGTCGTTCGGTTGTTTGGGGCTGCTGTTTCGGTTTCCTAACTGTTTACTTTCACTGTCGGTGGCCGAGTTGGTCTTGCTTTTGCTGTTTCTGTTTCAGCTTCAGCATCAGCTTCTATTGCCATCGGAAGCCAGCGGGGTTTATTGGATTTTCGTTAACCTGTCTTGGCCAGACCGGAGTCATAATTATTTACACCTATTAACGGGCAAATCTTTGAGATTCGCTGGGGCAACTGGGTCGCAAATCAATTTCACTTGAAATGAAAGCATTTCGACCTAAGATGGACTTGTCAACGGCCAGTTTTCGTCTTCGTTGTGGAATTATGCATAAAGCTTTCGGTTTTGTCGTTTCGCTTTCACCCCGTGGTATGCCATAAATTATAGAGACTTGTCTTGATTTTTCATTGATTTTTTATTTATTAATCTTCCTTGCTTGTGTTTTTTTTTCAACTTTTTGTGTGTTGTTTTTCTTCATTTTTTGTGTTAAATGACATGCATATGTGTGACAGAGAGTAAGAGATAGAGAGGGGGTATTGTAATCTATGGAATTTACATTCTTTTGTGAGTGAGTTTTGTGATCTGTGTGAGTTGCCCACATCTGCAGCTTCACGCTTCTTCTTCGTCTTCATCATCATCATCATCATCTTACTACTGTTGCCGGAGTAAAAAGTTGTGAAAGCGCCGTACGACTTTGCTTAAAATATTTAAATTAAAGTAGACGACGTGCTGGCGACTCGAAACTTGCGGCCTGATGGCTAGAGAGCCCTCCAAATGTCATAAACAAGGTATCTTTAAGTTGATAATTAAAGATCTGTTTAGGTCCACAGAGCAGGCGAGCCCGACACCAATCTGGCCGACAAGCGGTCCGAGTCGCTCGGATGCATAAAGTACGCTTAAGGAGTTAAAATATTGAAAAAAAATATTTTTAACATTAGGGGGAATTACTAGGCGTGTGCGTGTGCATGTATGAGTAGCAGTGGTTGTTTTTTGCTTTTCTTGTTGTTTTTTTTTTTGGGAAAGTAGAGCGTTAGAAAGTGACAGATGTAGAGGCAGCAGAGGACGGCGAAAAGAGATGGCAGATAGGAGAAATGAGAAAGTTGAAGAGTCGAAGTGGAAGTCGAGTGTCGAGTGAGGAAATAGTGGCTCTGAAGTTTGGCCGGAAAATGAGTTCAGTTTGGTGTGGCGATGTGTGTTCGGAGACCTATGGCAAGTGATGGCATGCGAATGACCAAAACTATGACTCAGTTGAAGGCGAGAAAATGAAGGATAGTAGATAGATAGATTTGACAGATAGACTTGACGGAAAGATAGATAGAGTTAGGGCTAGAGGAGTTAAAGCTAATAGTAGGCATGCTTGTTGCTGGTGTTGTTGTATTGTAAGACTAGAATTGCATGTGAAGAACATAGTTGAACAGGCAGAGTATAGAGTACAGATATAGACTGTAGAGTTAGGATTTGTACGTTGCTCAGATTGCATGGCAATCGGCAGAGTTTTGGTATAGGCAGTATACAGTTTAAGATGGAAGCACAGAAATATAGAGATAGGTGGATAGAATTAGATGGAGATGTAGATGCAGATATAGATATAGATATAGTTATAGATATAGATATAGGCATAGACATATAGATATAGAGACAGATGGATGAGAGTGCATTAGATAGAGATGCAGTTGGGGTGATCGAGTGGCTGATGGTTCGGGGAAGTGCTGTGCGAGCTTAGACTTAAGGCTGAGTATTTGCAACTTGTGGGTTAACTCTCGCTGGCCGCTCTTTTTACAAACTTAACTTTAGCTTCATCAGTTTTAACAACTAACATATATGGTTCTGATTCTGGTTTCTGTCCGGTTTAACATTATCTTGCGTGTTTCTGTTTGTGTTTTGTGATTCAATCTTTTTCGTTTTCATTGCTTGGAGAAATAAATAAAATAAATTAAATTAATAAATTAATTAAAACGAACGATAAATAATGTTTGTGTTTTCCTCTTCGAGAGTCTCGGTCGAGCTCTGCAGCTCGAGTCGTGTGTGTGTTCGCGATTTTGATTCATCTTCTTGAGTGATTTTGTGGTTTGGCCAAGTGACTTAGGCCTGGACGGGCTTCTGGGCACCGTAGGCCAGGTCCTGGGCATCGATGGAGCGTCCCCAGCCACCGTGACCGCTGCTGCCGTAAGAAGCCGAGGAGGCTCCGGCATCGGCGCTGTAGCCACTGCCGTACGAGTCGTGGCTCGTCGAGTGGCTGCTGCTGTGGTGTGGGTGGGCAACCACCTCGTAGGTCACGTGCTTCTCCTGAGACAGCAGCTTCTTCAGGCCAATAACGGCGGACAGCACCAGGGCGATCTTACCAATGAGCAGAGCCTTTCCGGCGATCAGGGCGATGGCACCCAAGAGCAGGGGCAGCAGAGCGGCGGCCTTCAGGGCAACGAGGGCAAGGATGGGTCCCAAGATCTTGGCGGCCTTCTTCTTCTTGCCACGGCTCTCCTCGGGGGCGTTGGGGTCGTTGGAGCCGAACAGAGACTCGGAGGCATCCTCGAGGGCACGGCCCGTGGAGCTGACAGCCTGGACGATATCGGCACCCTTAAGTTCCACCTTGATGGTGTGCGAGTTCAGGAAGCTGCTGATGCGGTTCAGGGCCAGGGATTCGAAAGACTCGTCGCCGGAGATGGAGCGAGCAGCCTCCTGCTGTGGGGCATCCGAGGAGCGGACGACGGTTACACCTTCGGTCAGGGCGAACTGGTCGCGGGCACCGAGCACCTTGTCCACGAAGCTGAACAGCTTGTACTTGACGCACGAGACGGAGTCCTTGCGCAGACAGTCGCTGTAGATGCTATCCATAATGTCATTCTCGCCGCCGATGGCGTTGCGGGCGTGGCCACGCGTCTCCTCGGCGGGAAGGGCGGCGCTCAGGGCGACCAGACACAAGACACCGAAAGTAACTTTATGGCTTGCCATTTTGCTTATTGGTTTGGTTTTTTTATGATTTGTTCTTGCACGAATTTTGGATTGGGTTCTTTAGGATAGTCCTTTTGTGGGTCCACACTACACTGTCACGTAGTTCGGCGGCGAACGCACTTTCTCTTGGATGGAAAACTGTATTTTTTGTGTGTTTCTCGCTTTTGGCTGACTGCTGCTGCCGTATAGCTGCTCAGACGGTTAAGGATTGAATGATACAATTTTCCACCGCACACGACAATTTATATACGGCGGCAGTAGCAGCGACTTCGGCATCGGCATGCTCATCTGCTGCGAAAGCATTTCTTCGCCCCACCAGCCCCCTTCTCCCCCAGCAGCGGTTCCCCCAAACTAGTCGTGCAAGTTTCTCGCTTAAGTCTTTCGTTTGGCCGGCCAACGGTAATGCGCAGTCGGCTTCGCCGTTGGCTGCGCTGCACCGGTACACAGGCAGCAGCAACAGCAGCAGCAGCGGCAGCTGGAAAAGCATTGTTACTGTAATTTGTAAGCTGTCGCTGCCGCTGCGCTGCTTTCGCCCGAAGTTCATGTAACATTGTCAACAGTCGCAGCCTCCTGCCGATGGGAAACCAGCGAAATAAACCACTGGCAGCTACTTTTACTCGGCGGAGAGCGGGCTAAAAAGTGCCGAAAATCGTAGTCGTAATCTTAATTGTCTGGGCATTAATTGAAAATGAGTTTTTGTAAAAGTAAGTAAAAGCATTTCCCTTTCAAGCTCAGTCGAGCGCTTGGAGCGAGGTGGCTCAGATGAACAGAACGGTAGATTTGCATATCCGAAAGACCGTCATTCGAGAAAGGTACTTCTGAGGTATTCAAGGTATTTATAAGGAGAGTCTTAGGGCATCTTTAGAAAAGATTTTAGTTTTCTTATAAAGGCTTGTACAATCTTTAAAATATTTAAGCTAAATTTTTAATTAATGGATTTTAGTATTGCTGTTTAAAATCTTTCTTTATATTGGGACTTAACTTGATTTTCAAATTATTAAATTTCTATGCTAATTTTACTCAAAGCAGTGATAGCAAAATCATTCTAGGAAGCCTATAGATTAATACTATACATTCTATATTTTTACCTAGATTATCAGCTGAAATCTGAACAAATTTAAAAAATTTAAAATTATTTAAATATGTTTGGGTATGACAGAAATAGAAAAGAAAAAAAAACTCGATATAATCAATTTAAATGCTAACAATTTCACTTTTATAATCTAGATGGTTATAGCAATTACAGCTATTAATCACTTGCTCTTTTCGCTATCAGTAATATTAATTTAGCTGAATAGATATATTTTCAACATAAGGAAAGATTTGATTCCTTCGATCAACCTGAAAAATAACATGTTAAAATAAAGATGACCATGACAAATTGATATCGGTTGTATTTTCTCTGTGTGTGGTCATTAGATATTCTGATCAAAAACTGATCACATTCTGGGGACAGGGAATCTATGCCAAAACCAAGTCAGCAACCAGCGACCATTGGCAGTGACAGTGCCGATAATAATAATCATAACCCCATTCAGAAAAGGGAAAGTCGCGGATACATCTGCGAGAAATGTGTGGTATGCGGCGGCGGCGGCCTGCCCTTCTTCACGATGGATGTGCAAATTTTATGCGTTGTCAAATAAGTTGTGGCCAAAACAAACAGCTGCCATGGCCAAGTGGCAAAGCACTCCATTGGCGTCCAGCAGGCTGAGTTATCGACGGGCAAACACCAGTAGCTCGACCCACAGCTGTCCCCAACCAACTAACTATATAAGTAACCGGCCGAAGTGATTAACTTACTGGCTGAGACAGGTAAAAGTACGCAAATAGACAGTGACCAGGAGCCCAGGCAAATGAAAGTCATCATCACATCCCCAGGCAAAAGAGAGTTTGCAAATGCGAACTTCGAAGTCCAAAATGCGAAATGCGAGTCGATCGCTCGCATCGGATCTCTGCAAATGACCGCGAGCAGGATGCGAATACTACGGACCCCACGAAAGTGTTGAAAATAGTTAATTAAAGTGTTATGAATGTGTGAAAATGCAATGAAAATGCGCTTATGAATTGGGCCCCAGCAGCCCGGCGGTCGGTCGAGTCGCGTGAAAACGCTTTTCCAGATCAGCCAAAGCTCAGCTCAGACCGTCTTGTGCCAGTGAAAGCGAATTTTAAATGCATCTGCTGGCAGGGAACCATCTGCAGCCACGCATTGCGTGAATCTCTGACTGCAGTTCACTGAAGGAAAAATTCAATGATGAGAACTTAACCCAAATGCTGTCTTGATAGAAATTTGTTTCGAAGCTTATTAAAAATGTTTTTATACATTATCTTGTGTTTAATAGTTTATTAACACTGAAGGTGAAAATAATACTGGTAAGGTTTATTATGTTATATGACTATTTTAATTTGTTGATCTTGACTATATAATTTATTTATTTCCAGCATATATTTTACCTTTTCCTCCAACTAAAAATTCTTACTGCATTTCGGCTTTTATATAAGATTAACATTTTAGGTAAATTGTTTACTTAATAACTTCAAAACACGAACTATAGATTTTTATACTTAAACTATAAGAAACCCATTGCCAGTTAGATGACGGCTCATCACTTAAATAGCGCCATCTAGGTCACAATTTTTCAACTGGCAAGGACTCACCTGCCAACGAAAGATATTTTAGCCTTAATCTTATTATTCTTTTTAAAGGTAAAATAAGACATTCCTATAGTGTGAATATTTATTTCAAACTTTCTGTCACTAGATCCCTGGCCTACAGAAGGACATGGCTAGATCTACTTGGCTAGTTATCCTGATCAAAAGATCTTTACCAAAACGAGTACGGTTCCATCTACTAGTTACATACTTTCAACAATCAATACACCCTCTTACTCTTTATGTAAAGGGTACAAAAAAGTCGTTTTCATTTAATGTTAAAAATTAAAACATGACTTTTTCAGCAAATTGGTATGCATATTTCACATTGTTTTGTGGCAGTGCATTTAGGGATGCAAATGTGATCAGTCGCCGAATGTTGAATTATTTGACATTTAATTAAATTTTTATATTCGCTGCTTTGGGAGTTGCAGCCATGCAGAAAACATGAGAAACGACACTTTCACTGCAATGGCCCCGCAGACCTCGAATCCAAGTCCCGCCCATATGAATGGTCACAGCGCAGAGAGGCAGCCTCTCAGGCGAAGACCACGAGTGCATCGGATCGGGATTGGATAAGGCCTGTGAACCGCTTTTTCGTTCTATTGTTGTGGCGGGCCATATCAACAGGTTGGCTTTTGCTTTTGTTTGGCAAAAATGAAGAGTAAAACTAACTCATAACAGCCCAACGGGTTTCAGCTGCAGACCTTAAGCGCCGAGCTGCACATGAATATATCTGTGTATGTACTTATATTTTATTTATATCGCAGTTGCCATTGTGGCTGACACTGCAGCAGTACACAAAAAAAGAAAGTTCAGGTTAAATTTTCCTTTTCCATTATAGCCAACAACATTCACTGCCGCGGCGCGTGCAGCTCTGCAGCGGTGTAGCGGTGCAGCTGGAAAATGCAAGCCAACAAACTCACAAAGTCAAAAACTGCATGAATGAACGACTGAACGGATGACGAAGTGAGTGCCGGACCTAGCACTCCCAATTGCCATTCCCATTGCCATGGCCATTACCATTGCCATTACCATTACCGACGAGTGGGTGTTGACATACACTGAGACAAAAACTGGCAACCAACCCCCACAATGTCAACGATAGTACTGATGGCACTGCAGTCAATCATGAAGTGAAAACGCAAAACAAACTGCAACTGCCACTTAATATCTTTATTTTTAACTTGCAGAGCGGCAAGAAAGACTCGAGTGGGCGTCATTTCTTTGGCCCAGTTTAAAACAAAAGATTCAAAAGGTTTTTAAACCTTAGACATCGATACTTGGTTGCTCTTGTAATGTAATGAAATATTTTTTATACTCGTTCTTGCTCGAAATGGGTTAGCAAGGGTTTCCAGTGGAAGAAGTGATCCTGTTATATGGAAATTATACCAAGTTATGGACAAATTTAATATTTTTGTTCTATTTATCCCGTAAATATATTCAGAAAATATTTTTAAACACGCTGTATTCATTATTAGTTTAAAATTTACTTATTGAAATTAAAAGGATATACTTATAAACTAAAATGTATTTTATTTCTTCTTCCACATTTTTAGCAAATGCGGTATTATTACTCACATTTTCCTTTCCTTATTTCTTATTTCTTATATTTTTTAACATAATAATATCTGCGGTTGAATGACTCATCAGGTTATGTGGCGTATTTAAAGTTGTACTTAACAAGGCAATTGACAACTTTTAATTTTCACACAAACAAATTTAACAAACTCTTTGATCATGAGTGGAGTTTCTAACTGCGGGTAGTATTAAAATAAAGTGGTAATTGACTTTCTTTTAGCTGTTTATTGCCGTGTAAATGTGAGAATTTTCCCGGGATGAGGTTTACGACATAGTCGTAATGCCCCATGTTGCATTTAGAGATGCAAGCTCAGTCTAGCTCACTTATGACCGCCTTAATGGCCCACTGTCAGTTGGAATTATGGTTGGGATTTGGCCCGGCAGCCCTGTCATGGGAACAGCGGAATTAACCCCCGGGGCGCAGGGAAAGGTCAGATCAGACGGACGGACACAAATTAGCGGTCTGTGCTGTAATCATTTAGCTGAAAAACCTGCCACGCCCATTAGCATAACCGCCGAGCCGGCCCACCTGGCAACCAGGCAACCGCCTCTGGAGATACAAATTAAAAATGCACGAATCGGACTCGGAATCGGCCGCATCACTTTCACTTTCCGTGGAACGCTAATATGCATCTAGCAAGCCGAAAATCGAAAAACACAAACCAAAAATAAAAACATTTATGGATATGGCTCACACTCGAAAATTATCTAATTCGGCAAGCATAATCAAAACGGTAAGGCTAATTCCATGACGCGATGACGCCGTCGATGGCATCCATTGCGAAATCGGAGCACGGATGTCTCGGAGACATTTTCACACCCAAACTTCGGGCATGTCGACTATATTGCTAAGGCTGACTTGAATATTGGAATTTTTATATGCTTTTATTTGTTTTTACTTATTTGTATTTCAGAAAATTGAGTTAAATCTGGATCTTTGTTTAAGATTTGTTTAAATAAAATATAAACATTAAGTACTCTTCCCCATGAA